CTGGACCAAGAAGATGGATTATCAAAGGTAAAAGCCCTTAAAAATTGTTCCACACATCTGTTTACCCTTTCTGTTTGGCCATCGAACTGAGGGTGGTAAGCTGAACTGAACCGTAATGTGGTCCCTTGCAGGCGAAAAAGTGTGGTCCAAAAATTGCTTAAAAATAAAGGATCACGGTCGGAGATGATGGATCGAGGAATGCCATGGAGTTTTCCAACCGAATCCCAGAACACCTGTGCGATCTTTGCTGCGGTATAACGTGGTGGAAGGGCTACAAAGTGGGCACCTTTGGAAAAGCGATCCACAATGACAAGGATTGCTGAAGATCCATGAGACAGGAGCAGGTGAGTAATGAAATCCATACTCAAGTCAGTCCAAGTCTCTTCTGGTGGTTTGATGGGTGTTAACAGTCCGAAGGGTGAGTGATTGGGGCATTTTTTCTTTTGACAAATTTCACAGTTTGCCACATACTCACGAATGGTCTTCCTCATTCCTTTCCAGGTAAAGTTGTTGGCAATGCGTTGCAGAGTACCAGTGAAACCAGAGTGACCTCCTTGGACCGAGGTGTGCAAATCATGTAATAAGTGGGGAATGATGGAGGAATTCATGGGGAGAACGATGAGGCTGCGGAAGAACAACAATCCGTCTTTTACTTTCCATTCGGGCGATTTGGCTGGTTCAGTCTGTAAATCTTGTAATATGTTCTTACAGTAGGAATCTTGTTGTAATTCCTGTAGTAGTAGGGCTTTGTAATCACTAATGGGACCACTCATAGCAGACAAATGGGGCTTTGTAGTGTCGAAATCCCCTTCTGGATGCTTGGACAAGGCATCTGCCACAACGTTAGTTTTACCAGATTTGTATGTGATAGAGTAATCGAAGCCCAAGAGCTTTGACAAAAAGGACTGTTGCTCCGGTGTTTGAACAGCTTGATTCATGAGGTTGTGCAAGCTCTTGTGATCTGTCCGGATGGTAAAAGGTACCCCCAATAGGTACTGTCTCCATTTAGCCACTGCGGATGTAATAGCAAACATTTCGCGAATATACGTAGACTTAGTGCGCATAGTGGGGGCCAACTTCCTACTATAGAAAGAAATAGGATGATTATTTTGAAGCAAAACCACACCTACTCCGGTACCGGAAGCATCTGTTTCCATCACGAACGGTTCTTTGAAATTTGGCAAAGCCAAAATAGGTGCTTCTGTTAGCAACTTTTTAAGCTTAGTGAATGCCTCTTCAGCAGCTGAGGACCAGCTAAAACCTTCCTTTGTCAAGAGGTCAGTCAATGGGGCGGCGGCAATAGAAACTTAATGGCGTATAAACCGGCGATAGTAGCCAGAGAGACCCAGGAATGGGCCATTCTAAGATCGCTTTGGACTTACTAGGATCCGGTGCTACACCGTTGCCTGAAATAATGTGGCCCAAGAATTGTATGGAGGGTTGAGCAAACAAGCATTTGGACAATTTGGCAAACAGTGTATGAGTCCGTAATGTGTGGAGCACCTGGTTTAAGTGACTAATATGTTCCTGGAGACATGAGCTATACACCAAAATATCATTAAAAAAAATTACTACAAATCTGCGTAAGAATTCAGAGAAGACCTGATTCATGGTTGCTTGGAATGTAGATGGGGCATTGGACAACCCAAATGGCATAATCAAAAATTCATAGTGACCATGGTGTGTCCTAAATGCTGTTTTATGTATATCTGGGGCATGCATATTGATCTGATGGTAACCAGATCTGAGATCGAGTTTTGAAAACATTGTTGCACCATATAATTCATCCATTAGTTTATCAATAGTATGAATTGGGAATTTATCCTGCACCGTGACAGCATTTAAAGCCCGATAGTCCACACAAAAACGCCATGTCCCATCCTTTTTTTTGACTAGTAATACCGGGGAACTAAAAGCAGACTGGCTAGGACGAATTACCCCATTTTGTAGCATGTCGACAACCAGTTTCTCTATCTCATTCTTTTGGAAATGCGGGTATCTGTATGGTCGAACCTGGACAGGTTTGGTATCAGGAATTAATGGTATGCGATGGTTATTGGGCCTATCTGGAGGTAGGGAATTTGGTGCGGCAAAGACGTCTCTGTATTGGTCCAATAAGGTCTGGACTTCTGGGTTCTGCTCATTGTCATTCTGTTTCGATGAGGCAGAAGTTGGTGGTGTAGCCACAGCAGACAAGCACATAATACAAGACTCCAGAGACTTCTGAGCCACTAATTTGTGCAATTGAGAGGAAGTAATCAAGCTTGCTGCAATCCGTTGCTCTCCTTGAAGAATGACGTGTACCCCTTGAAATACAAAGCCCATTGTCAGCTTTTGGTAATCAGTCACAATAGGTCCCAAAGTTGATAGCCATTGGACACCCAATACCATATCTGCCCCTTGTAATTCCAAGACAAATAAGTCCACTGAGAATCAGTGACCTTGAATGTCTAAAGGAACCAATTGACACATGGTTGAATAAGTAAGTGAGTCACCGTTCCCCACCTGCACATTAAATGGTGGAATAGATAGCAATGTAAGGTGTAAGTGAGTAGCTACTCTAGGAGTGATAAAATTGTGTGTGCTGCCACCGTCAATTAGGATTTGGACCGACTGGCCCATCACAGTGCCCAATAACCTGAATGACTTTGAGGAATAAGTGCCAAATAAAGCATTAAAACTGATTTCTGGAATCTCCTCGATCTCTTCTATGTGTGCGTTTGTTTCAGAAACTGGATCACCAGTATCAGGGGGTTCATCCTCCTCAAGTCCTTCTAAATACAATAATGAAGTGTGTGCCTTGCATTTGTGGCCATAAACAAATTTCTCATCACAATTGAAACATAGACCCTTATCTCTTTTCACTTGCATCTCTTCTTGACTTAAACGGCGAATGGGGATAGCTGGGATGGGTTTTGTGGAGTTGGGGTTTGGGAGGGCTAAAGGTTGAAAGGGTTTTGTATGGGACGATGAAGGAATTTGGGAATTATGGGATGTAGAAAAAGGCGGTTTAGCCATCCAAGGGCGTATGGATTTTTCATGTCTAAGCTGGTCTTCAAAAACTTTAGCTAGAGCTAACGCTTCATGCTAATCACCTGGCCTTTGAGGTAAAACCAAACGACGAATGCGAGATTTAAGTCCTGAAATAAACAAGCCACGTTTCATAGTGGCAGAGAGGCCAGGGACCTTGCTGGTCGTAGCCTCAAATGCAGATTGACACTCAGCCACAGAACCTTGCTGCTGAAGTTTAGCAAGGGCACCTATGGGCTCATCGAATTCAGATGGCCCAAAGCGCCTGTGTAGCGCTGTGACAAATGCAGCCCAAGTGGGTAGTAACCCTTCATCACTCAATCCCCTAAACCAGCAAGCTGCAGGGTCATCCAGATGGAATGCAACAATTAATAAACGTTCCTCTTCACTGATTCTATAATATTGGCAATATCTATCCACCGAAAACAACCATGAAGTTGGATCACCAGAATTAAATCGTGGAAAAGTAAGCTTAAGAGGGCGAGAAGGAACCAGATCTGTATTATTGGTGTGAGATTTGGAACTTGGTCCAGATCCCAAAATTCCCGAGTGAGAATACGCTCCCTGGTTTTGAGCATCAAGTATCCGCTGCAATGTCTGTTGGATTTGTGCGTGTGATTCCTGGAGGTGAGCGTTAGACTCTTGGAGTCCTAAGTGTTGCTGCTCCCGAACCAGTTCTGCAGAACGCAGCTGTTGTTCTAGTAGATCTAATCGATGGTTTTGTTGTTCCAAAGCATCCAATCGCTGGGCTAAATCCCTTATTCTTGTGTTATCTGCCATGATCGGGTAGGATGAGTAAGCAACGAAAGCACCAAATTGTAATGAGAAATTACAGAATTTCAGAATTAAGGGGGTTGTTAGAAGAGAAGAAGATGAGAGAGAACGAGAGAAGAAAGAGTAGAAAGAAGATTCATTCAAAATATGCATATCTCATTCATACGATACTAACGTCTTTATAGTGCCCTATTCATAATGGGCCTTCCTACAATTATCAACCATTGTCTCTTTTTACAGCATGTGAATTAAAGTACTTCTATTACCACTTCCCAGCCCAATGAGACATCAGCCAGTCTCATAGTCCTCCAAGTGTTGGGGCTTCTTGCGGATCCGTTTACTTGGGCCCAATTCATTAGGGAGATCCGTTACAATGAGTATGCGAACAGGAGCAATGGTAAAGTTGTTCTTTCATGACTGAAAGGTTATGGGTTTGAATCCAGGAAATAGCCTTTTTGCAATTATGTAAGAGTAAGACTGCGTACAAGAATTACCTCCACCCCACACTCGCTAGTCGGGTTTAACGGGAAGTGATTTTTTTTTATAAGAGTGAGTGTGCATGTGTTTCTGAGTTTAATCTGAAATTGTCTTGTACTTCATCAGAATGTGTGGCCAATTGAATCCGCTCTTATTTGGAGTGAGTTGAGTCAAGTCATCATGAGCAAAGACTAGGAAAAAACAAGAGAAACAAAGAAAGCTGTGGAGGAAAGACAGAGGGAACTCTTGAGAGAAAGAGAGTCAAAAGGAGAAACTTGGGTTCCTAAGCATTTTATGCAATCTCAAAGCAAAGAATCAATGGGGCTAGGACTGTTTACCAATTCAAAAGTGGGTCCCAGCCTCTCCTATCATCACCATGTAATTTGTTATATTGTTTCTATTACCTGTTCAGCACAAACAACATTACATTATTAGTACTATTTTACACACTACAGTACGGGTGAGTTATTGTCAAAGTCATCGTTAGCTTGGTCAACCTACCTGTGAACAAGAGCAATGAAACACTTGTCTCTAAAATACAACTTTGGCTACCAGACTCTTGACAAAATATTCAATTTTGATCCTTTCCTTTCCCTTCATTTGTACTACCAAAATATAATACAAATTGTTAAAAAATATTATATATTGTTTGTGTATCCTAATAGTGCAATCTACATATATACTTCACATTGAACTAAAAGAATTTACAGTTTACACAACCAGAAAATTTTCTTGATCTGACTTTTCCATTAACTTTAATTACAAGGTACACACTTTTAATAATTAGAAGATTGTGAAGTAATCTATGTCTCCTAAATCTCACCTCACTTAATTCTAATTCTAATAAGATTTCATCATGAACTCGTACAAACTGAAATATCAAGTGCTTAATCATTTGCATCATGTCTTTAGGAACATTCTGAAGTACAGCATAGAAGAATTAGACACGAAATTTTTCTTTTATCACCAAACCACCTAACTTGTCTTCTTCCTTTCTAGTTTACCTCAATCCAGGGTCTGGCAACACATCAATTATTATCTTGCAGATCAGATTCACTTCTCCTATTGAATGACTTCTCTTTGATAGTGTCCAAAATAGGTTTCCATGGCTGCAATCTACAAGGGCTTTGTCCTCCATATGCCATACCAATTTGCTCAGCCACCCCAAATCTGCCAGGACTCCTTGAAGGTGAACTGCTAACACTGCTCAAACCATGTTGGCTTGACAAAGGACTAGCTTTCAAGGACTTTTTGTCCTCATATCTATTAGTTTTGGCTATTGCAGTGAGTCTCTTTGCAAGGGATGCCAAGTTCATAGGAGAAACATCAGTTTGCAGTATTGAGTATGGTAACATGAAGTACACATTTCCAGGTTGGAGTTGGGTATCTCCCTTCAAAGGTTTTCCAGAAGAGGAAAGAAGCTGAATGGAGGTACAAACAAAGTGCTTTGGAGAATTTCCAGTTACTTGGCTCACTGAAATTGGTTGCTCAAAATCCTCAACATAACCACTGAGATGAACTAGACGAACATTGTTGAATGTGGAGGATGATCTAGAAGAAAAACAGCCTCCCATCTCTGCTTCTTTCTAGGTAAAAGATGCAAAATGAAAGAACACTAGTTATATATAATAAACAACTGGGGTTTGTCTATTGGTATAGAGTAGCTGGAAAAGTTTCTAGTTTTTTTAAGCCTCAGAAGCTTTTTTGGAAATGAAATGGATGGTTATTGGTTACCTAAACCAGTGGTTTTTTTCTGACTAATTTCCTTGTGTATGTCTCCTTGTAGATTCAACTTCAAGGACTATTTTGAAGTGATTCTATTTGGAAACACAAGATGAAACTTCATGTGGCAAATAAAGCCATTTATATGTTTGTTTTGATATGAGGAATTATGCACTAGTGCAATGACCAAAGTTCAACTAAAATCATAAAGCACCCTTTCATTCTTTTCAAACACCAAAATATCTAACCCAACCGTAAGAAATGGGTCACTAACCAAGCTTGAAACGTTGAAGCAGTCAAAACAATTACTAATTATAGTCACGCATGAAGTAAATTCAATGGTTTATTTTGATTTTATTATATTGGATGAACTTGTAGTCTCTTGACCGTGAGGCTAGGGACAGAAGCATTGCCTATCATCTTACTCGGATTACATATATTGTAGGTCCCTTGACTTAGATGGAAACAAACATTCAACAGACTTGAAGGTGGACTTAGAACATGACATCTTGGCCCAAAGTATAAGAAACGCAAACTTTATTCCTTATCAGGTAGGGAATGTAAACTTTAGTAGTGAAGTTTTACTATATTTAAAAATAAATTAAATGAAATTATATATAAGTGTAAGAATTTACAATTTTAATTGTAAAGAACCTTGGGATACATCACCCCCAAAAGCTAGCTCAAAGGGTGAGAATGCCCAAGGCCTTATAAACTTCACATTAGTTGCACATACAACCAATGTGGGACTATATATCTCAACACGCCCCCTCACACAAGAGCCCATTGGGCTTGAAGAGTGGAAGATGCAACAGGCCCAGAGCCTACCTGTGCTAAGAAAGTCCACAAGAGAAAGTGAGGGGCGGCAAGGCTCTGATACCATGTAAAGAACCTTGGGATAAGGGTACTCGTGATACTCGCCCTCCGGCCAGGTATACAGTCAATATTAGTTATCATCGTCTTTCTCCATCATACTTTGCTTGCCTTTCCTCTTTGTCCTCTGTATTTGTTCCTAAGACTACAGGTGATGCACTTTCACATTCGGGATGGAGACAAGCTATGATTGATGAAATGAGTGCTCTTCATCATAATGGCACGTGGGATCTGGTGTCTCTTCCTTCTGGAAAATCTGTGGTTGGTTGCAGATGGATTTATGCTGTTAAGGTTGGACCTGATGGTCAAGTGGATCGTCTTAAAGCTCGCTTGGTGGCGAAGGGTTTCACTCAAGTCTTTGGCTTGGATTTTATTGATACTTTTTCTCCTGTGGCGAAAATGTCTACTGTTCGCCTTTTTATTGCCATGGCTGCTATTCGTCATTGGCCTCTCTACCAACTGGATATTAAGAATGCTTTTCTTCATGGTGATCTTGAGGAAGAAATTTATATGGAGCAACCTCCTGGATTTGTTGCTCAGGGGGAGTCAGGTCTTGTTTGTCGTCTCTGTAAGTCTCTCAATGGCCTCAAACAATCTCCACGAGCTTGGTTTAGTAAATTTAGCAGTGTTGTTCAACTTTTTGGCATGACTCGGAGTGAAGCTGATCATTCTCTCTTTTATCGTCATTCTGCTTCTGGATCTATTTATCTGGTGGTATATGTGGATGATATTGTCATCACAGGCAGTGATCGGCATAGGATCACTCGATTGAAACAACATTTATGTCATCATTTTCAGACTAAGGATCTTGGGAAACTTCGATACTTCTTGGGAATCGAGGTGGCCCAATCTAAAACTGGTGTTGTGATATCTCAGAGAAAATATGCTCTCGATATCCTTGAAGAAACTGCTCTGTTGAATTCAAAGTCTGTTGATACTCCTATGGATCCAAGTATCAAGCTTCTACCAAATCAGGGGGAGCCCTTTTCAGATCCTGAACAGTATAGAAGATTGGTTGGAAAATTGAACTACCTCACAGTCACTCGGCCTGATATTTCCTTTGCAGTGAGTGTTGTCAGTCAATTTCTCAATTCTCTATGTCAAGAACATTGGAATGCAGTCATTCGTATTCTTAAGTACATCAAGGCATCTCCAGGAAAAGGCTTTGAATATGAAGATAAAGGTCATGATAAAGTTGTTGGGTACTGTGATGCTGATTGGCCTGGTTGTCCAGCTGATAGGAGATCTACTTCTGGGTATTGTGTCTTTGTTGGAGGCAACTTGATTTCCTGGAAAAGTAAGAAACAAAGCGTGGTTGCCAGATCAAGTGCTGAAGCAGAATACCGCTCCATGGCGACTACTACTTGCAAGCTCATCTGGCTTAAACAGCTTCTCAGAGAGCTTAAGTTTGGAAACACTGGACAAACAACTCTTATTTGTGATAATCAAGCAGCTCTGCACATTTCATCAAATCTAGTGTTTCATGAAAGAACCAAGCATATAGAAATAGATTATCACTTTGTTCGAGAAAAGATTCTTACTGGTGAAATTAAAACTAGTTTTGTACCCTCTAATGAGCAATTAGCAGATGTGTTTACAAAATCTTTGAGGGGTCCTTGAATAGAGTTTATATGTAACAAGCTTGGTGCTTATGACCTATACGCTCCAGCTTGAGGGGGAGTGTTAGAATATATTAAATATGATTAGATATGATTAGTCTGAAATTATACTGATTAGTCTGTAATTATGCTGATTGTATTAGTCTGTTATTATGATGATTGTAATTAGGTCTGGGCCTTTCACTTAAAGCCTATTAGAGTCTCTATATATTGTAACTCTCTGAATTAGATCAATACACACAGAATATTATTTTAAATGTTCCTCTCTTCTCTCTCACTCTCTCGTTATTTAACATTAATATTTTAAGATTTTGAATTAAGAAGTGATTTTATTCTATTTATTATGGTGAACGGTCGCTTATTTCATTGATAATAATTTTCCTCTATCGTGTGTTTTGGTGTTACGCAACAAACAAATCTACTCTACCCTTTTGTTTATATGCTCGTTATCTTGCTGATGAGGAATGATGGAATTAGAATATTTTTTATGATGGACACGAAAATAAAACATTAAAATTATAAGTGTTAATAAAATTAATAGAAGAGGTTAACTGTTATAAATATTTTTTATGGAGAGGTTAATTTTTTTATTTATTTGTTTTTTTTTTTGGAGATTATCCTTCAGTAATTCCATGAGTTTTTCATAGACTTATCCGGAGTTCAGGATGAATCCATGATTACAGTTTTAAATCCCTACTGGGGAGAATCGAATATATGCTCTTACTACCCCACCTGCTCAGTTTTTATGTGTCAACTGAGCTACCATCATTTGGTGAGATACTAATTATTAATATCTATTATTATTATTAAAAATACTATTTTAAATATAATAATAAAAAAATGATTCATTTTTTCTGCCGTCAATGTAGATAAGTTATTTATATTAAGTGTAAAATGACCTCATTTTTTTTTTCTAAAATCAATATATTTTTGTAATTATAATTTATTTTAGAGTTATAATAATCTTTTCATTATAATTTTTTAACGTAAAATAATATTATTTTGAAAATAAATATAAATAAATTATTTATATTTATTATAGAAACATTAAAATCAAAAAAAATATCAAAATTTAGGAAAGTACGAATTCCCATCAGTATCGATCCATGACTCCGCTCCCGAGTCCGCTCATGGCTGTAGTAGGTACTAGGTAGTCTCATTTTTAATGCATTCATCTTAGAGTAAGCCTTACGCCTCCATTATTCTATGGGTTTCTCTATTCTCTTTTTGTAAGAGAGAGCATATCTTATGCTAAGATACAAAATGATAGGACTTACCACTAAAAAAATGAAAAGAAAATAGCAGCACATTTATCGAAGTGTCTATGGTATAAGATAGTAGTCTCCTACAACATGAGACTATTATTTCCCTTATTCTATTCTAGGTAGTTATCTACTTATCTATCACTATTAAACATGCAAATATCTCTGAAAAACAAATTAAAAAAGAGAATTACTTTTATTACGTTATATAACAAAAGTATTATCTTCTATACTCATATTTTTTAAATGGGTCTCACAAATTTTTTTTCTCATCTCTAACTTTTTTTCTCTCTTCTATTTATTGTTTGAATAGGAGATAATACTGCTGTCATGCAACATAAGAAAAATATTATCTACTAAAAAATACACCTTATTTGCAAATTGAAAAGAATTGGATAACTTACACGTATTGATTTTTATTTTTTTAAGATACACCTACTGTGACGGAATGTGTTATATTAAGAACCTAAGTGAGTGCCAACAATTTTATAATTTAATGGTCTCCATCTCCAAAACTGGAGTTAAATAATGTGCCAGTTTATTTGGTAAAATAATGTTTTTACTAAGGCGAACACTTTTCTTTATGTTGCAGGAAATTTTATCTCTTATATCATAGAAACATTTTTATGTGGATCCTTTCATTTAAGTTATTAAAAAAATAAAAAAAATAAAACATTGTGAGACAACAGGAGATGATTTTTCTCTGGCAACATGAGAAAATCATCTCCCTTTTACTAAATAATATTTTAGAAATCATATGCAACCAAAATTCTTCTAATTAATTATAGATAAATTTCTTACGGCTAGGTAAATATAAAGAGACAAGCGCTTGCAATTAGACGGAAATATTTTTTTTTTTGGATAAGCTGAGTAAAACACACCACAACACAAATTAAATAACTGAAATACGACGAGTTCTACAAATAGAAGCTAAATCTGCATCAAAGAGCAGACCAATTCCAAGGGGAGGGGAATTAAAAACACAAAAATCATCAGAATTAACATTAATAAAAGGAAAATTTGTCCGCCAATCCGCACAACAGTTTCCTTCTCTGAAAGTATGAACCAGATGAACTCTCCAATCCTTTTGAATCCATGTCCGTAATCGAGAAATCAGATGATTCTCGCGGACTGCATCACCATCACTAGTGAGCAGAGCAATAGCTGATTTAGAGTCACTTTCTACAATAACATTTCTCCATCCATCTTCCCAAGCTAGTTGCAAACCCTTTAAAATACCCCAGAATTCTGCAGTAAGAGCATCACAACTACCAATTCTATAAGCAAATCCCTTTAACCATTGACCAACATCATTTCTAATAACACCACCACAAGCTGCTAATCTTTGATTACCTTAACCGCTCCATCCGTATTAATCTTTACCCAATTGCTTCCAGGAGCCTTCCAACAAATCAAAGTATCCGAATGGGACAGGTTATTTTGAGCTAAATTAACCTTATGAAAAGCATCTTGTATATCTTTCACCTTGGCTATCACTGACTGAATCTTGTATTGATAATCATGAACCTGATTTGGATTGTCATGACTCCTTTCATTCCTCCACTTCCATGCAAGCCAGCAAGCCGTAGCAAACCATGTACACCAAGGGATATTATCCATGAAAAAACTAATCTGTGACATGTTTAGTTCTATCCAATCCCATAAATTGGCAGAAAAGAAAGAAACCTGCATATCTATTGGTACCAAATCAGACCACAAATTCTTCATATCATTACAATCTCTCAATAAGTGAATACAAGTTTCATTATGCTCCCAACAAATTGGGCAAGAAGCTGAACCCATATTAAACTGGCTAATGAAATTTTTTGTAGGAATTTTATTGTGAAACACTTTCCAAATAAACAGCCTAATAACCTGAGGTCCCTTCCAATTCCAAATTTTCTTCCAAATAGGGGCCAAATCCTGCTGCTCAACCGCACCAGATAAAATGGCATAAATATCCTTAACAGAAACTTTGGTATCACCTTTTAAATTCCAAAGCAAGTGGTCCATCCCATCATGAGGATTCGGGGGGAGCATACCTCGGATGTTAAGCATAACATCATTTGGGTTATCATAGGCATTCGAAAATCGTTTGAATGAATTAAAAATGTAATGATTATCGGGCGAAGAAACTACATGTTTGTAACATATTGATTGTCATTTTTAAAAACATTAAATTAATTGAGTGATTAATTTAATTTATTTTTAAAAAAAACATACTTTTCCGGGGAGGTTGTATTTTTTTAATTAATAGAAAATATTATATTTACCACCAAATAAATTTATCACATTTTACTATTTTTTTTATAACTTTAGATGGTGGCCAATAAAACTTGATGGAAAGAGGAAGGTGTTCTGAATCGACATTCACAATCCAATGTACATGGGCAGAGGTTACACCACTTACTTTCCATAGGAAACACATGGACCTCATCTTAGGGAATCCATCACTTCCTGCAGAGCTCATCCATTGTGTACTCCCATGATTGTGATGTAATTTCTCACACTTAACTCTGAGATATATAATGGGTAAAACGATCAGACTCTCTCATATCATTAAGGAATATTATTCTCACCTACATGTACCATTCTTCATCACCTGAAGAAGAATCTTGTATCCATTACTTTTATGAGTTGTTATTCTCCTGAATTCTAGAGTCATCCTGCCATCACACATTCCTCATCTCTCAACATAATTGAGATAATATTCGCGGTAATTTTCCTAGAACTTTGTTCTATATCATTGCTTCTTTGAGTACCTACTTAATGAGATACTATACCCCTTAAGGTTTATAAACTTATCTCTAACTTCAACAGAGCTTAGGAGGTAAGAAAGAGAACAGAGGAAGTGATTGAATAGAAAAAAAATTATATCAAATAATAACTATTGATTTGATTTTATCCAGAGAGGTAATAAAAGGAGGTGAATTTACTTGATTGTAAATATAATCACTTCTTTTTTTACACCTTATTGAGATAAATTTGAGAATTGTAAAATAAGCTTTCCAAAACATGTTATTAACTAAAAGCATTATAAATTATTTTTTTTGTTCAATTACAGAGTTTGGATTGGAATTGGATCATTGGACAAAATTAGATGACTGGATCCAGTGGCAATAATGGGCTAGGCCTTTTGGGCGTGCTCAATTAGACAGGGATAGAGCACGTCTCTTCCCAATATCAGACTGAAAAGCAAAGGAAACGTAGCATTTATTAACAAAAATTCCTGGTTTTGGAACATCGTCGTTTGTCAATGCACGCCAACTGTTTGTCTTTTGTTTTCTAATTTTATGTTGTTCCACACAAGACCCTTATGTTGTTCTTCTTCTACTCGCAGCTTTACACAAAATCTCTCACTCCAAAGCTTACTCAAACGTGGCTTCACTCCCACTCTGAATTCCATCAACGAATTCTTCTTTTTCCTGTTTCACCTTCACAAGTTCGACTTAATCATTCACTTGTTCTCCCAGTTGAACTCCAACAAAGTCCTCACCAACCACCGAACCCACTCGATCCTCTCATGGGCACTTCTCAAATCTCACAGATTCGAAGAAGCAGAGCGATTCATGAACACCCATTTGCGCAAGCCCTGTTCTTCCATCGAATTCCCCATGTGGGACACCCTCATTCAAGGTCTCTGCGTCACGCGCCAAGACCCCGAGAAAGCACTCTCCGTTTTGCGAGATTGCTTGAGGGAACGTGGTGTCTTGCCTTCTTCCTTCACTTTCTGTTCCATCATTCACAAACTGAGCTCTCTGGGTAACATGGGTAAGGCCATTGAGGTGCTGGAGTTGATGACTGATGAAAGAATCAAGTACCCTTTTGATGATTTTGTTTGCAGTTCTGTGATTTCTGGTTTTTGCAGGATTGGAAAACCGGAACTTGCTTTGGGGTTCTTCCAGAGTGCCACGAGTTCTGGTGCGTTGCGGCCAAATCTGGTGACTTGCACTGCCCTTGTGGGTGCTCTTTGTAAAATGGGAAGGGTTGATGAAGTGTGTGATTTGATTCGTGGGATGGAGAATGATGGGTTGGTTTTGGATGTTGTTTTGTATAGCACTTGGGTTTGTGGGTATGTTGAGGAGAAGGTTTTGGTGGAGGTTTTTAGGAAGATGAGAGAAATGGTGGAGAAGGGTATAGATCATGATGTTGTAAGTTATACAATACTCATAGATGGGTTTTCCAAGTTAGGTGATGTGGAAAAGTCATTTACCTTCTTGGCCAAGATGATAAAAGAAGGACAAAAACCCAATAAGGTTACATATACTGCAATAATGTCTGCATACTGTAAGAAGGGTAAAGTAGAGGAAGCATTTGCTGTTTTCAAGACCATGAAAGATTTGGGAATTGAGCTGGATGAATTTGTGTTTGTAGTTTTGATTGATGGGTTTGGCAGAATAGGAGATTTCAATAATGTGTTTCATCTGTTTGATGAAATGGAAAAGAGAGGGATTAGTCCTAGTGTTGTTACATATAATACTATTATAAATGGTTTATCCAAGTATGGGAGGACCTCTGAGGCAGATGAGTTCTCAAAAAATGTGACTGCAGATGTGATTACATACAGCACGTTGTTGCATGGGTATACCAAAGAAGAGAACATTCCAGGGATTTTGCAGACAAAGAAACGACTAGAAGAAGTAGGAATCACTATGGATGTTGTAATGTGTAATGTACTGATCAAAGCACTGCTTATGATGGGGGCTTTTGAAGATGTTTATGCACTTTATAAAGGAATGCCAGAAATGGATCTGGTTCCAAATTCTGTTACTTACTGCACAATGATTGATGGGTATTGCAAGGTAGGTAGAATTGATGAGGCACTTGAGGTGTTTGATGAATTCAGAAAGACATCAATATCCTCACATGCATGCTACAATAGTATTATTAATGGCCTTTGCAAGAAGGGTATGGTAGAGATGGCCACTGAGGCATTGCTTGAACTCAATCATAAAGGTCTCATTTTGGATATAGGTCCATATAGGATGTTAATGAAGACAATTTTCAAACAAAACGGTGCAAAAGAGGTTTTAGATTTAGTCTACAGAATGGAAGGTTTGGAGCCAGACATATATAATACAGTATGTAATGATTCCATCTTTTTACTATGTAAAAGAGGATTACTTGAGGATGCAAATCAATTGTACATGATGATGAGAAAGAAAGGCTCATCTGTCACAAGCAAGTCTTATTATTCAATTTTGAGAAGGCATCTTAGTAATGGGAATAGGGAGCAAATTCTGCCCCTTTTGAATAGCTTCCTGAAAGAATATGGCCTAGTTGAACCATTGGTGCAAAGGATACTTGCATGCTACCTCTGTCTAAAAGATGTCAATATTGCCCTTAGATTTATTGGAAAAACAACGCAGAACTCTTCAGCAGTCACTTTTCCTGTCTCTATTCTCAAGGTTCTCGTAAAAGAGGGTAGAGCTTTAGATGCATATAAGCTTGTCGTGGGGACTCAAGATAATTCACCAGTCATGTATGTTGGTTATGCCATTGTGGTTCATGGCTTATGCAAGGGAGGATACCTCAATAAAGCATTGAATCTTTGTGCCTTTGCTGAAAAGAAAGGGGTGAATTTGAACATAGTCATATATAATTCAATAATAAATGGTTTGTGTCATGAGGGACGTCTTATTGAAGCATTTCGGCTATTTGAATCATTAGAGAAACTTAATTTGATACCCTGTGAAATAACTTATGCTACATTAATTTATGCTCTATGTAGGGAGGGATTTTTGTTAGACGCAGAGCATATTTTTGGGAAAATGGTCCTCAAGGGCTTTCAACCAAAAATACAAGTTTATAATTCATTAATTGATGGTATTTGTAAGTTTGGTCAGTTAGAGAAGGTATTTGAGCTTCTAAATGATATGGAGACAAAATATATTGAGCCTGACAGTTTGACTGTTAGTGCTGTAGTAAATTGCTATTGCCAGAAGGGTGACATGGAAGGAGCCCTTGAATTCTATTATAAGTTGAAGAGGAAGGATATATCACCTGATTTTTTGGGGTTCTTGTATTTGATAAGAGGACTTTGTACCAAAGGAAGGATGGAAGAAGCCAGGAGTGTCTTGAGAGAAATGCTCCAGTCCAAGAATGTTGCAGAGATAATTAACAAAGTCGACAGTGAGGTTGATACAGAGCCAATAGGTGATTTTCTTGCCATTTTGTGTGAGCAAGGAAGCATTCAAGAAGCTGTTACAGTTCTCAATGAAATTGCATGTATGATTTTTCCTGTTCGAAAGTTGTCTACGTATAATCAAGCATCCCAAGAACAGCAGAAGATTAATGAATGGAAGGATTTTGGTTCAAAATCTTCAAGCTCTCTACCTTCATCTTGCAAAAGTGGTTTGGATTTTGCATCATGTGATGATGCCAGGGATGTAAGAAATCCTACGACAAATGATGGTAGTTATATGACAAGATCCCAGCTACACAGCTTTGACTTCTATTATTCTAGAATTTCAGCTCTTTGTGCCAAAGGGGAGCTGCAGAAAGCTAATCAATTAGCAAAAGGAATGCTTTCTGACCTGACGGAGTCTATGAACTGAACATAAGGAACAAAAAGGAAATGGAATTCTTTTCATGTGGGGACTTCTCTCCTTGTAGTGCCAGCAAAGAGAGCGCGCAGATGACACCTGTCAGTATATATTTTTCCTTATAATTAAGTTTATATGGCGTGTATGTATGTATCTATATAAAAAAACCACTCCACATGGAACCTGACTTGCAGGGTAGGAGTGAGGAAATTTTTATAGGCAACCTTACCTTTGCGTTTTAGCAAAGAGATTTTTGGATTTAAATCCGTGATCTTTTGATCACAACGGTCATGGGTAATTAAAACTTTAAAATATTACCTGCTGGACTAATGTCAGCTTTTATTTATTATATAAATTTGTAACTTCTTTGTCATACAATTTTTGCATGCCTTACATAACTAAGTTCTTTACAATTTCCATTTTTTATCAGATCTATTGCCTTCCGAATTACTAAATTTATTGTGTGCAAGTACTGGTATCTGACTTGTGTGCTTTTTCCTCTTTGGCTTTCAATTTGATTTGGTTAACCTGAGTACAGCTTCCACTCCCCATGGTTAGGGCATATTAGGGTTATTAGCCTTATTGACTTAATTAATAGTAGTACTACTGTACTAGTACTTGACCTAATTATTAGTATAAATAAGACTAATAGGTTGTGGTGTCATAACATATTACATGCAATCAATTATATTTTCATTTCATTGCCAGTAGCCTTCTTTCTCTCTTTTCCTTCTTTACTATCCCTAAGGGGGCGTTTGGTTGAGGAGAAATTTGTGAATACTAGGTAAATGTAATTGATAGGGAAATGGTTGGAAAGTGAGTTAGATAGGAAAATGTAAAAAAAGTTGTTTGGTTGGAAAAAAATTTACCGGGAAAATTAAGTGAATTTATAATGTCTATGTTTGGATGCAAGTAAAATTTAGATGGGAAAGAAGGTTGGAAGTTACCAAAATAACCCTCACTTGAAATAATTTTGAATCAGAATGAACTACCCTTCCGTAAAGAGGGTTCCATTTGTTAAAAAAGCTACAAGAGAATTGAGATCCATAAATGCAACTGTCTAACTGAATTGGAGGAGACTGGTGAATTAAAAAAATTCCTTTCCAATTCCAAGAAAGAAAAGAATAGAATAGGGTAGTGTTTACTTATTCTTTCTCATTGGATCATTCTAATCACTCTTGAGTTTCCAGGAAACAATTGTCAGCATGGCAATTGCTGGTGCAATTGTTGGAGCAGCAGTGGGTGGTTGGATTAACGATGCTTATGAACGAAAGAAGGCCACCCTCTTAGCTGATGTGATCTTTGCTCTCGGAGCGATTCTCATGGCTGCTGCACCGGATCCTTATGTTCTCATAGTGGGACGTCTTTTGGTCGGTTTGGGTGTCGGCATAGCTTCTGTTACTGCTCCTGTGTATATTGCAGAAGCATCGCCATCTGAAATAAGGGGGTCATTAGTGACAAATGTGCTCATGATAACTGGTGGACAGTTTATTTCCTATCTTGTGAACCTTGCTTTTATAGGGGTTAGTATTCCATGCTCTGCTGTTGAATTGGGTGTTGTCGATATCTTCCATTTTGAATCATCTCTCTATTCTTCTCAGAGGGTATAATGGGTGTGCAAAAATAACATAAACAGTGGTTTACCCATCTTTGTGCAAAAAACCACCGAATGAAAATCTTTCTGAACTGTGCCGATAGATGGGTATTCATGAGAAAATTGAAAAGCAAGGCAAATTGGATAGATGGCCTTTTTGATTGAATCTATTCAACCAAACATTGGTTTTCTGAAATCCATGTTACATTTGCATAGGAAACTTGGCTTGCACCGTTAACCAAACAACACCTAAAGCTTTTAATCTTAACATGGTATAAGAGCAGTACCTTCTACCATGACATGTGTGTCCATGTTTTTTTGTCAAGGCTTAAACCCCTTTTTCTATACATAATAAGTAATATCGGTGTTTATCGAAAGAGAGAGAGAGAGAGAGAGAGAGAGAGAGAGAGCACGCGAGACAAAAAAGAAATTTCTAGGTTGTGTTCAGTCTTCTGCAAAGCTAAGGATGGCTGCTGTTTGAACTTTTTTAGGCAACCTATGGGTGGTTGCTAGTGAGGATTAGGCTGGCAGTTGTCTTTCTCTCTGATCCTTTTTCCCTAACCCTAAACCTATAATTCTTAACACCCACTATGATATGGATAAATTAGTTCTCAAATTTTCATTGTAATATCAACCAGACAGACAGAAAAATGATTTCCTAATCCTCTGTCCTGTTGCTTTAATCACCAATCTGAAAAGGACAGAAATCTAAAATGACAAAGAAAATATATTTAACCCTAAACCTAAACCCTAAAACCTAAAATATGTTGTAGAAATGATGACTAGTGACTTTTAACCCATATCATAAAAAAAAAATTCTAGCATCAGACAGCATAATATCATTCATGGTATTGGAAAAGATATCAAGACTTTTAGGTCTTTTTCTGTCTTTACGTTTCATATTTCCATTTAATTTCTGATAATTTGTGGCTTGGTTTTGAGTCACAGATGGAATTGATCTCTTAGAAGAAGAATGCTATATCTGAAGACCAATGAGAACTAAGACTTCCATGGTGGAGAATTCAAGTTATTGATAAAAAGATACAGCAGCAACAGTAGGAACAGAATCATCTCATATGCTGTATCCTGTATGAAAAGGCAATTATATAATTTGTTAAGCAGCAGTTTTCATTTTGGTTCCAATTTGTAACAACTGACTGCCTTTGCTAAATGATGTCCTCCTGTCTGCAGTTTCACCAAGGAAGTGACTGTCAAGGTACTTGTTGGAATCAGTATTGAGATATAATGGATCCATTATAAGATCTGCTATATATAAAAATGGTAAATATACATACAACTTTCTCTCATTAAATTTGGGTTTGTTGCTTAAATTATAACTTTTTGCCAATAACCAAGGGCTTTAGCTACAGAAATGATTCTGGTAAAGCACATCTTGAAGATACAATTGAACCTTTCATTTTTTTTTTTTTCATTTTTAATATTAGTGTAGTTTCCCTCGCAAAAGACTATATAATGATTTTTTTTTTTAATTTACCAAATTGTGTAAAGATTTTACTTATATTGGGTAGATGATGAAATTTGTTTCCTAATCTAGTGGTTTTCTGTTGTTAGGCCACACAAATGCAGATTTGTGCTGGCTAAAATAGTACTTCTATACAAAAACAGAAGAGGAGGACTTTTTCTTTTCTTTCTTTTTGTGGTATTTTAAAGTTTTAATTAGAGGAAGACACACTCCCTTGTAAGGTCAGGGAAGACCACCAACCTCAATGAGAGTTTACATTGGGATTACATATCGCCTACCAAAGAAGGCAGTTAGTGTGAGCTGAAGATTCGACTCAGTGTGCCAACCCTCATTTGCAAGGAAATTATTTTTAGATTCTAAATGAACAGACCTGAATCACTTTTCTTTTAAACTAGTTGTGTGAACTAGTTCCCTAAGTAGAAAACAACTCCCCTTTTTGAGGTAAATCAGTAAATGCTATTATTGCAGTGTGTCATGGTTGCATTTTATGTCCTACTGCAACTTGTTTCTTGGGCACCGTTTGTTCATACCATAAGTAATATGGACTCGAGAATGCTAGTGAATCATCTTTTTTATGGGAAAACATTAGTTTGTATGTTTTATAACAGTTTTGGCATCTGTATAGTAGGTTCTTCTGCTTTTATAATTTACTGCCAATGGTATACAATGGCTGCTATCACAATACTAATAATAAAAGAGCTGTCATAATGTTGTCTTTCCAGGAAGGGTGACGGGAGAAAGGAATTGATTGCTTGCTAATTGCTGCTTTAGGCTTGAATTGGCAAAAGTATTGATCCCCTTTGTATGGTGATTAAATGTAAGTAATTTATTTTATTTTTTTTTCAGACATTATTCATGGTATTTTAATCGGATTGAGTTGTGTTTTTTGTTTCCTGTTGCACTTCCTTCATTCTTTCCCCTTTTAACCTGGAAGATGGCTGATTCCGAACCATGAAGTTTACCTTAATCTCTCTAGTGCCCTTTGGCCTTAATAGATCTTATAAAGTTTTTTGTTTTTTGTATTTTTTTGTTTTTGTTTTTGGTAAGCTCTAGAAACCACCACCAAAGAAGTATCTTTGCACTTGCTAATGGCATGTAAGAGAAAACTGGCTGTCATAAACTTGTGACAAAGTTGGCTGGGCTATGGAGAAAGTGGAGTTAGGCATTGAAAAATGATTTACTCTCAATTCATCAAAAATAAGAGTGTAAACATTAAAAGAGTTGAAGGGGTGAAATAGGCTTCTTTGTTGGTTATTGAAAGTAAACTTTGTCTAAGAACCATTATGATGTATTGATTAATATTTCAATTTTGCTTCTTTCAATTCAATCACCAATTTTCACTTATGAAAACAATAATTAACTTTGCTTCTTTATATTGCAATTGGAAACTACATATCATATTCATTTTGTTATTTTCCCCCTCCTTATTCTTAATTATGTTGTCATAATTTTCCGTTCTTAACTTCAATGGAAGAACTAACAGTTTTGGGAATCATATCTCGGATGTTTAGTTCGAGTCTTATATTCTTTGATGTGGGACAAATACTTTTTATTCTCTTTTCAAACCCCTTTTTCTTCTTCGTGCATAAAACATTATTATTAATCGCTACAAGCTTTGTGTCTTCATTTATTTATAGAGAACGAAGTAGATTTTATATTGTTGATGTTAAATATAAAATCATTGTAGCCATACGCTTTGAGAAATATGTTTCTGGGTTTGCTCTAATGATGATGCTCAAAAGGGAAATTTGGTCAATGCGTTTTGGAAAATAAGAGTTCCTAACGCATCCATAATCATCAGCCACTAAGAAGTTCACAATCAATTCTTTGGAAGTAAATAAACTGATTAACGAGGTCAAATCCCACATTATAACTCTGCTGAGCTAATAACCCTATAACAGAAGGTCTACTTTCAATGCCACCCCCACTGATTGGACCTACAGCCATGCAAAATGTGTCATCTTTCACTTGTCTAAAAAGGCTTCCCGTGTCCAAAGCCAAATCTGCTCCTTCAGCAAAATGAAATGTAACCACTGGAAACCCAACAAGGTCTCTACTCACAATCCCCAAATTGCAGAGTAGCCATGGAGGATTTGTATATACAACTTCGTGAAACAACCCACCAAGGAGATTTCTAACTTCTCTGCATAGTAATTTATACACATCTTCAACTAGGTGGGTGAGTGTAGAACCTGTGTCAAGTATGACTCCACCTGTGCCACCGGCTTTTATCTCAAAAGTTGCTGGATCTATGTCAAGCCTCTTTTCTCCTATACTTATGCCTTCCATGGTGAGATAATACATGCCATTGAGCAATTGAAAATGTGTAGAAGAGCCTTCAAGATCAGCCCCTTCACCTAATATCAATTGGTTGTAACTATAATATTTGTCAGTTATGCTACCTATGCAGTAAGAGAATTTTTTGCCAATTTGATAAGCCAATGAGTTATGTGCATTGTTTAATCCTAGTATTCCACTGTATCCTGGGTCTGAATTGTACCCAATGGCTTGGCCACACCCAAATTCTATATCGGGTACCTGAGTGGTACCTTCATCAGTTGTGTCAAAGACTAGCATGTCACGGCCAAGAGTTCCTGATGTGAAGGAGTTATCTGCATAAGTGATACTGAAAGTTAATTTATCCAAGAGGTTGCATTTGCAGCCTTCTATGCCACAGGGTCTTTTGCATAATGGGGAATAGGTGGAAGACTTTGAAGGATCAAAAAGTGGAGATAAATGGTTGTCACAATTTGAGCAAGGGATGCACATAACCCAGAACATGTCACTGCCAGTGTCCATAATAACTAGTTGTGGGATGGGGGGTTGGCCTATTGAGAGACTGGCCAGTATAGTTTGAGTAGTTAAAGAGGGAGAAAGTTTAGCTCTGTAAACATCAGAGACCAAAGAACCTTCAATCCTAGCTTGCAAGTAGGCTAAACGTGCAACTGAATGTTTGATATCAATTTCCATTCGGTCTTTTGCTGTTTCATTTGGATTGTACAGTGGATGGAGAACAGAACCATAGTGAATGAGTTTGGAGACCAATCTTTGAGGTTTGGCTGTTGATGCAGCTGGTGAGCTAGCTAGGGGTGTGGTGGTTGTAGAAGTGGTGCTAAATGATGACAAACAGCATGTTGAGAAGGCTAGCAACAGAAGACGATGCAAAGGTCTATATACAAATGCCATTGACATTCTGTGCTATTGAATTTGCTATTTGAGTTTATGTAGGTTGCAGATATACCTTTCATTTCCAAGAAAGGATAGTAATATATAGTGACAAAGCAATCATTACAATCGTAGCTATTTGACTTTAGGTAGGTTGTAGATATACCTTTCATTTCCAAGAAAGGATAATAATATATAGTGACAAAGCAACCATCACAATCGTAGCTATTTGAGTTTAGGTAGGTTTTAGATATAACTTTCATTTCATAGAAAGGAGAGTAATATATAGTGACAAAGCAACCATTACAATCGTATAAGATTGAACTGGTCGCAGGTATGATTTGAAGAAGAAAAAAAAAATTTAATGACAGGGAATGTAAACACAAAGGGCTTTCAAAAGGCAGCAAGCAAGCACATGATAATTGCAAGATCTTGTTACAACCATCTTTGCATTTACTGCCAAGATTCAATCTAGATAAGGAGGAACAACTTGTGTTATGATTTGATAATTTTTATTTTGAGCAAACCAACTAATGAATTTTTCCTTTCTTTTTCTTTCCCTATTATTTTGTCTTCAAAGTTCACACACAAATAAAGTGTTGGGTATAAATCATATTTGATAGATAGAATTCTTTTATACCGGTGTTAAATTTTAAAATTTGACACCAAATTTTAATTATTGATTTCCGTTAATTAATAATTATCATTTATTGAAATTGATAATTAATTAATAAATTTAATTCTCAATAAACGATAACCGTTGATTTTCGACGTAACAGAGTGATTCTAACGAGTTCTGTGAACGAAATATAAGAAAAAACATTGTTGGTGCTAATTCTATATTACGAAACGATAAATTTGTGCTTTCTTTTCTTGCTTACATTCGATTGCGTGTATTTGATTGACATATTAACGGATTCAGAAACAAAAGAAGAGCATGACGATCGTTTGAAAATTTAGAATCCAGCTCAAACAACAGCTGCTATGAATAAAAACACTTCATTTGTTAAAAGCGATAAAGCAATACAGGTCTCCTTCCCTAGGTTGACCATCATCATAAAGAAAATATTGGATGTAATGTAATTAATAAAATTAAAGGGCTAAAATAAACAAATCAAAAAAGGATTGAAATGAGCAAAGTAGTAAAAAAAATATAAAAAAAAAGAAGATAGAGAAAAAGTTAGGACCAAAAAATTAAGTGTTGTCTGAACTAGGGGGAACAGAGGGTGGATAGAACGATTAGGATTCTTATTTGATCGTCTTTTCACCATTACATCAATGTTGAATGATTGACCCTACTATGGTAGGAGTAATGATATTTGCAAAGACACAAACTGTGTAACTTTATTTTAAATGATCCATATTAGTCCACGATGATGTTTGTGTGTGGTTTGTAAAAATAATGAGCGTTTGCACAAGCTTCATTTTTCTTCTAATACATGGACCTCAAGTGAGACACACAAAATTATTAAGTATCAAGATTTTAACACGTGTCATTCTTTAAAGAATAATAGACTAGGGATAAAATTACTTTAAAAAAAGAATATATGGTAGATTACTACTTATACGTACCACTATTTTTTTTTTTTTTTTTACCTTGGTTGAAAATATGATGGTAGAGTAGGTTTCTCAAGACTATTGATCAGGTTTCAGTAGTCTAAAATCTCAAAGGAGTATACAAACCTAACTATGTCCATTTAATTGACTAGCATGATGCAATCCTACACTTGGCTTCTATCCTTTGGTCATTCTGATTCTGTTATGATTATGTGTTCTTAATTTTCATATATCTCTATCAGCTACCCTCTTTGTTGTTTATGTAGATTTCAGCAGTTTTATTTCCTTTTGATTTGTGATGTCAGGTATTTTCCCCTCTGGCTTATATAGCTACCTAAACATATCAGAGAACTAAGAGTTATTGGAATCATGTCTCTGATGTTTAGTTTGAGGTCGTTTATTCTTTGATACGGGACAAATACTCCTTTATTCTCTTTTCTAACCCCATTTGGCTACAAACTTGTAGATTTTATATTGCTGATATTAAATTTGAAATCATTGCTACTAACATTAGTGTTGAAATTATGCTTCTAGGCTTGCTCTAATATTAAAGATCAAAAAGGAAATTTGGTCAATGCGCTTTTGTAAACAAGTTTCTAACACATCTATAATCATCAGCCACTAAGAAGTTCACAATCAATTCTTTGGAAGTAAACAAACTGATGAACGAGGTCAAATCCCACATTATAACTCTGCTGAGCTAATAACCCTATAACAGAAGTTTTACTTCCAATGCCACCCTCACTCATTGGAGCTACAGCCATGCAAAATGTGTCATCTGTCTGCTGTACAAAAAGGCTTCCTGTGTCCAAAGCCAAATCTGCTCCATCAGCAAAATGGAATGTAACCACTGGAAACCCAACTAGATCTCTACTTACACTCCCAAAATAGCAAAGTAGCCATGGAAAATTTTCAAATGTAGCTACTCTATATAACCAACCAAATAGATTTTTAACTTCTTTGCATAGTAATTTATACACATCATCAACTAGGTAGGTGAATGTAGACCCTGAGTCAAGTATGACTCCACCTGTTCCATTCTCTTTTATCTCAAAAGTTGCTGGATCTATGTCAAGCCTCTTTTCTCCTATACTTATGCCTTTCATGGTGATATAATACATGCCATGAAGCACTTGAAAATGTGTAGCAGAGCCTTCAAGATCAGCCCCTTCACCTAATATTAATTGGTTGTAATTATAGTATTTGTCAGTTAGACTCCCTATGCAGTAAGAGAATTTTTTGCCAATTTGTGAAGCCAATGAGTCATGTGCATTGTTTAGTCCTAGTATTCCGTTGTACCCTGGGTCTTCATTGTAGCCAATGGTGTTGCCACACCCAAATTTTATATCAAATACCTGAGCTTTACCTTCATCACTTGTGTCAAAAACTAGCATGTCAAGGCCAAAAGTTCCTGATGAGGAGTAGTTGTTTGCATAAGTGATACTGAATGGTAATTGTCCCAAGTGGTTGCATTTGCAGCCCTTGAATACACAGGGTATTTTGCATAATGGGGAATATGTTGAAGACTTTGAAGGATCAAAAAGTGGAGATAAATGGTGGACACAATTTGAGCAAGGGTTGCACATAACCCAAAAGATGTCACTTCCAGTGTCCATAACAACAAGTTGTGGGATGGGGGGTTGACCTATTGAGAGATTGGCCAGTATATCTCTACCAATTAAAGAGGAAGAAAGATTAACCCTGTAATCATCAGAGACCAAAGAACCTTCAATCCTAGATTGCAAGTAGGCTAAACGTGCAAATGAATGTTTGATATCAAGTTCCATTCGGTCTTTGGCTGTTTCATTTGGATTGTAGTGTGGATGGAGAACAGAACGATGGTGAATGAGTTTGGATACCAATCTTGGATGTTTAACAGTTGAATCAGCTGGTGAACTAGCTAGGAATCTGGTGGTTGTAGAATTGGTGCTAATTGATGACAAACAGCACTTTGAGAATGCTAGCAAGAGAAGAAGATGCAAAGGTTCATATACAAATGCCATTGACCTTCTATGTTATTGAATTCACTACTAGAGTTTAGGTAGGTTGTAGACATACCAAGAAAGGGTAGTAATATATAGTGAGAAAGAAACCATTGCACTCATATAGATTGAACTTGTTGCAGGTATGTTTGAACATAAAAAGATTGATGACAGGGAATGTAAACACAAAGAGCTTTCAAAAGGTAGCAAACACATGAAAATTGCAAGGTCTTGTTTACTACACAACCATCTTTACATTCTCTGCCAAGAATCAATCCAGAGAACGAGGAACAACTTGTTTTATGATTTGGTAATCTTTATTTTGAGCAAATCAAACAGAAAAAGTAGAAGTAGTTTCCAAAAAATCATGGTACCATTTGAGCTAGATCTCTTTAAGTATAAAATTTATGTACGTATGTAGCAGCTTCTGAGTTAAATATTAAAATTTTATTTATTTATTTATTGAAATACCATTATAGGTGTTTGTGAAACTTCAAACATTGAACAAAAAAAAAGTGTTTAAATAAAAAAAAAAACTGTATTATTTGTAAGTTTTTACTTAAAAGAAAAATATATTGTTGGTTCAAAGCATTTGCCGGAAATAAATGGTTTCAGGCTCATTTCTTGATTTAGAAATGAGAGATCTCTTTATCTCAAACTTTTTCTTTTATAATACAAAAATATTTAAAAAAAAAAGTTCCTACATAAGCTAATTCTTAATTGAAAGAAACGTGGTGTATATTTTTCAAAGTTCGCATTAAAAAAAACTATTAATTAATATGCAAGCCGCAATTAAAAACTCACAACACCTTTAAATAATAATATTTTCGGAAAACATTTTCTCATGTTGTACGATAGTCATTTTCTTCTATAAGTGACTCTTCGATTTTCATACAGTATTTTTTTTTTTTTTTTTTTGTATATTTGAAACAAGAACAAATAATTATAACCTACTGTGTAACGGTTATGTTATTTTTTATTTTATTTTTTGGACATTACATGGAAATTAAACTGCAAACTTAATACACACTAAACACACCCAACACCACTAGGCTAACCCTAGAGGTGTAACGGTTATGTTATTTGCACACCAAAAAGTTTATATTATTTTTACACAGATAAGAATGTCTTAAATATTAATTAACAAGGTTTATACATTATTAACAGATTTTTTGAACTTAAGGACTATTATGTGTTAGTGATGTACTGCACATGTAATGAAATAACCCATAAATCTAATGTATTAAAATTTTGAGTTAAGATATAATGCACAAACCCATTTAATATAAAGAATTTACCGCTCAGCCCATTTAACGCATGTTAATTTTCCCTACCAACTCCTCAAGTTATATTAACAAATTATTATTATTAAATTGGTCCACACCAAATGGTGTGCAAGTACTATTTCGTACTGTTTTTTTTTTTGGTAGACAGTATTTCTTACTGTTTAATTTACCACATATACATTTATTCAAAAAGATAACAATAAAATTACCAACTATCTCAAGAAGTTTCGATTTTGCTTAGCGTATACTTACATTCTTAGACTCGTTTTGTACTTCTGTAATATATCACAAATATAAAACTTAGGGTCACCCAACTAGTTCTCATATTTATTGACTTTTTTTTAGACATAGTTCTCATATTTATTGAGTTATTCCGAAGTATTTGTATGTTACCCAAGAATTTTTAAATTTGGGTAAAATAAAATATACATATTTAATTAAAATAAAATTTTAAAATAAAATTTTAAAAATTAAAATCATTAGAAAAATATGTATAATTAATTTAGTGGATTATAAATTAAGAATAAATTGTGTCATTCTTTGAGAAAAAGTAAATTAAGGAATTAAGTTACTTTGAAAAAAAAATGTGCTACATGGGGATCGATACTTATAGGTATCTTCTTCTTCTTCTTCTTTTTTACCTTGGTTGAAAATATGATAATAAAGTAGTTTGCTTAAGACAATTGATAAGGTATTCATGGTTTAAAATCTCATAACAAAGATTTAATTTATTTTTTTTCAATTACTCAATTTTTGAAAATTTATCTAACAGTTCATCAATTAATTGACTAATCCAATTAAGCTGGATAAGATCATAAAGACAACAAAACTCTTCCTACCAAATTCCATGTTACTCAACTAGCTTCTAAACATTGGGAACTCTCCTATTAAAGGAACACTCACCAAACATAATTACCAATAGATGGCATTTGACTGCTACACATAAAAGATGTAATGTCTAACTGGAGATCCATTTTATTGACTGACCATTCCAAGTCAACGGAATCTGGCCAATATCAAATTCTATTCCATCTCGTAGCGTATGTTTCATTGGGGTAAATGAAATGCATTGAAATAAGAATGAGAATGGGAACGAACAAAAGTCATTTTGATTCCCATTTTGGTTAGGTTATTAGAATGGGAATGAGTTTTTTCAATGGAATAAACATTGAGAAAAGTGTGTATTATTTTTTTATTTTTTTTTTGTAAATAAGTGTGTATTATTTTAAAGGATGTAAAATTATGTCATTTTAATGGAGAGAACGAGATAAATAAATTGAGACAGAGAATTGACAAAAAAAATAAAGGTATAGGTCCTACCTTTTGTGAGAGTGATACAAGTTGCGTCATTTAAAAAGACAAACACTTTTCTCATAAACATTTTTACCAATTTTTTTTCTTTCTTTTTGATACAAATTTCTACCATTTTAAGAAGAGAATACAACTTACAAGTATAAATGTGACGGAATTCACCTTCCATTATGTCAAAAGATAGGTGTATAGAATTATCCAACCCATTATCAGCTCGGGCCTAACCTTGTTTGAAAATTTAAAGATCCTAAATCATGCTGAGCCAACCATAAAAGACATGAAAATACTTCCATTAATAATATATAGAATCTTAGTAAATATATAGTTCATCTTCAAAGTTATTTATTTTTATAATAAGTGACCGAATTAACTTAATCTGCCATGTAAAGATAATTAATCTTAACCCATCCCAAATCAGGGGGATATTGTAGGGTATGAATTAGATACTCATAAAGTTGGATTGAAATTGTTAAACCTAACTGCATTGATTCATTTTGTTTAACAATGGAAATTGGAAAATATTCATTTGGGTTATGTTGATATCATCAAAACTACTTTGAAACTAAAATTGCTCTTTTTGTGGAGTTGAGTTTTTTTTTTTTTTTTGGGGGGGGGGGGGGGGGGGGGGGGGGGTATTGTTTCATTCTAAAGTTAAATATCTCATATGTCTTAACAAGAACTTGTGCTAGCATTTTGAGAAGCTATATTTTACAAATATATTCATAAAATTAAATACTCTAACTCCAACTCTAACAATTAAAGTTCATTTATTTAATATTATAAAGATTTAAATTTTTTTCTATCATACTCACATAAAAGTGAGTCGATCCCAATATGATAAAAAATATAAAGAAAAAATTAATGGAATCCAGTTATTTTTATGTGAGGGTGATAGAAAAAAAAATGTATGCAATAAAAGCATAAATAATTTTTCTTATTATACATGGAGAGTAACTAAAACAATTAGCACACGGCTAGGCAAGGAAGCTTGAGACCAAACTTCTAGCGAGTTTGACAATAACCTCTATTTAATTGACTAGTGGCTGCGAGATGACTCATCGTCTTGAATCATGATTCAAAGAGCAAAGTATTCATCAAATTTCAAAAGAGAAGGGAAAGAAAAATAAAAGTTGTAACACAACTGTAAAGTTATCTATGAGCTTTTGGATGCGTAAATAGACTTAGGTAACTTTTAAGTGTGTTTTGTAACTTAAGAAAAATTATTAAAATTCTCTTAGTAGTTAATTGGTATAACCCTAGAATTACCCTTCATCTTTAAGTTAGCCTTCACCACTAGGAGGGCATTTTGGTCTTTCACCTCTCTCACTAATCCAAGATCCATTCTCTTTTATTTCTTATCCCCATTGTATGACACCATCCCCTTAAACTAAGAAATTTGATTAAAAAAAAAAAAACTTTAGAGGCTTCCTCATTATTACCTTTCTATCCCTAGTTAGAGGACCATAGCTTCCCTTATTTCCCCATACCATACAGTCATCATGTTTTTATTTATCTCCGAAAATCTCTTATGATTTTAGTCACTCATATTTGCCCCAAATCCCTTCAAGACATTTCCTTCTTTTCTCCAAAACACCTCTTGGTCATCTTCAAATCCTCTACACTAAGTTCTCTCAATTCTTCATCTCCTTCGAGTATATCTCCCATTGTAAATCCAATAGCGAATCATCCTCCTCATTTCTCTTCCTTCATGTTATCTCATAGTTTAAATACTCAAGGAGCTAAGACTAAATTCCTATTAAACTTAAGACATCCTTACATGCACCTTTGGGAGCTGTTAAAGAATAGAACCCAAGTAGGATTGGTGTTGTTGTTATTATTCTGGGCAGAGTGTGTAAAGGTGTTGATTCAGGCCTGAAATTAGTGGAAATACACACATACATACTAAAATTCATAAACAACATATACGAATATACAAAAACAAAGGCTACACATACCTCTCAAAATAGATGATAGCTATTAACATGTATGATCATTACTCATGCCTCAAAATAAATATATACAATATCCATGTAAATAATTATACACTTCAGCTCCATCACTAGCCACTTTACACAAGCCTCTTACTCTGATATGACTGACCAATAACTGCTGAAGTACCTGAAATGTATGTCCCCAAATGGGGTGAGATTTCAACTATCTCAGTAAACTCAAGGTTTATGGAGAAATCTTCACCCATAAGTTCACTTCTTACATAAAAGGTTAGATACATAGTATAGCATACATCATACAAGCATAACTAAAATCAGACCGCCTGTCTGTACAAATATCTTTGAGGACTTATGTCCTTCCAGAGCAACTATAGCCAACCGTTAATAGGTGTACTCATGGTTATATCTGATCTGTTCATTGGCCAAGAACTAACATATATACTCATATACATATATTCATCTCATATCATATTATCACCTATATGAATGCAACTACACTAAGTATCCAACTTCATAAACACAAACACATAGATATACCTCATGATCATTAAATCCTAGTAGAACAAACATAGAGGAAGAATCCTCCTAAATCAAGAGCTTACCTGTATGATTTTAAATTAGAATAGAAATTAAAATATAATAATTTGCTAGTTTTGTGAGGTTTCAAATTTTCAATATAATCATTTTGAGATGGTCAATCTAAATATGTGTTTCTTTCACAATTAAGTGCAAACTTTTAATTTAAAATAAGTTCTTTTTATTGACTGAAGTCTGCTTTTGCTTATTACTAGTCACCTTTTTTTGGTCACCAAATTTTATGAAACGCTTACACCACACTTATAATAATAAACTTTCTATTATTTGATGGTTTGTGTTTGTTCTATTAAATAATCTAGACCACTCTTTATTTAGTAAGATTCATATAAAATTCGTCCAATAATAAAAAGTGTGTCCACCATCTAAAAAAAAGTGTGTAAAAAGGTATATTCTTAGCACACATACATAATCATTTATTGTATTTGTTTTGTACCGTATCTCATATTGACCCAAAATCTTAATGGCTCATCATATGAGTGTCAAAGGGTTAACCCGGCAATACGAAAATTATCATTTCTTTTAGCAGTTATTGAGTAGAACAATTCCACTTTAATTCCTCCCTCAATGGTTCAGAGGAAGTTAACTTTCGTGATTACACACTTAAACAAGCATTACAGACATTAGTGGCACCATTGAATTTAATCTTAACATCACTGTTTTTTGAAAGTAACATGAATTTAGTTCGATCATTAGCGTTACTGGTATGGTAATTAATCTACAAATTAATTAGGGACGAGATAATTTGGGAGAAATGCTTAATTCATTTCATTCTTTTTACAAAATCAAAACATGAAAAACAATGGGTAATGCTATTCATATGACAAAAAATCACAAATGCCTTCGTAAGTAGATTATCAATCCAACGAATCTATTTTAGAGGTTGTAACCCAAGAAGCATGAATAACATATAAAATATCTAACACAAAGTGTTCAATACAATTCCGAGAAACCACCGCCACCGAACTATCATTGTACAATACAAGGTTTAGGCTAAATGAGGGTGAGTCACATACTTATCAAAATGTTACATTGAAGTTTTCACTAATGGTTTGTGGCACGGAATGGTGTCATGGAAATCTATAAAAGCATAATCAAGAAATTGAGACTTATCAAAATCTGTCATCCTTGCAAATCCAAATGAGTTTGTCCAAGTCTCTATCGCACTATCAAAGGAAGGCAAAACCATCCTCTCAATTCCTAAGTGAGTCAACTGTTTCTCAAGATCATTCATCAAGATGCTACACATTTCTTGTCTTCGAAACTGCTTCCTAGTGGCCACAAAAGGTAACTCTGTAACCTTTTGGCCATAAAATCCTTATGGTTTCAGCAAAAACCACATGGTCATTACTCTCCAGAATCACAATGTAGGACCCACGAAAGTTAAAATGCTTAAGTTCTGAACTTCTACTAAAAATAACATCTGATACAATATCTCTCCCAGTGAGATCATTAATAATTGGATCAAAACACTCTTGGAATACTCCAAGAGCCACACTTAGCTTGCTTTCAATTTGACTTAAGCGCTCAAGATCTTCGTAACGGTTATCACTTTTCACGTTCTTCAACAATGTCCAAGTTAGGTTATCCTCACCCACTGGAATTAGTTTTCGTATCAGCTTCTGTAGACTGAAAAATATATTCTCATAATCAACACTGCAAAACCAATTCTTATTAGAATGGTTTCCCAAGTTACTAGTAAAGCCTCTAGTCTTTGAGCATCAAATGTGATACTTGCGCTCACATTAATAACAGAAGATAAAATAGTTATCTACATAATTATCTGCCCAATCTTCTCTGACTATAGGTCGACTGCTTTTTTGCATTAGCATGGTGGGCAAAACCAATCACCATCAGGAACTTTCCCAAGACCAAGATAACTAAGGTAGAATAAAGATAGACATCAGTCACATATGATTAGGTCACCCCCGTAACTACAAATGGAACAAATGTTATTGTTGTTGTCTTCAACCACTTTCTCTCTGCATCATAACATCATTCTTTTCTTGTTGTTAACTGAGTGCTTCTTTTTTGCAATCTAACAATGACCTTCCATCTTCCAAGAAGATACTGGCAGATGGTCTCTGCTCTGTACAACCAGCATGAGCCTCAAACTTAGTGATGGGAAAAATTGAACCACAACAATCATAAGCTATTCTTCCACATTGCAATAGCCTCCCTTTTTCACCACATTATTTTTACCGCAACACAATACCTCGAATTTTGAACGCACAACGTTGTTGTCTATCAGTGAAGAGATAATTGTTCGACGATTCCCAGAACTTTGTACCTCATTCCCATATCTTACCCTTTTGCTCGATCATAAGACCTTACCAGCTCTTTTACACCACCTATGAAACTCATGGGTTGAGAGTATTCATCATCTGATGAATCCCTCTATCTTTTCTTGCATTTTCTTGGATGAACCCTTACTTTCTTGCATTTTCTCGGTTGCTTTTGTGCCTGTGCAGAGGATGAAATTGTCATTGTTAAAGGGGCATGATTAAGCTCACTTTAGGTTTAGAGTGATCCACTGGAGTCCACTCATCATCATCTAATGAATCCCTCTGTCTTTTCTTGCATTTTCTTGGTTACACCCTTGATTTCTTGCATTTTCTTGTTTGGTAATTCAAGAGAATATTTTCAAGCTCAAAGCCTCTCTCTTGTATGCAAATTTCGCAAGCCCTTAAAGAAAAGTATTTCTTGCCATTTTTGGGTGGTGTATAACGCAATTTTAACCTCCCATGCTTATCAGCATACCAAAAATCCCAACCCAAATCGCAGAGATGTTGCTTTGCTTTTAAGGCTAGATCCCTTCTCCCCAAACCTCACTTAGGAAATTTTGGACAAATATTTGGTGTTTTGCTACCAAATATCTGAATATGGATCGATAGATATCTAGATATTTGCGCCAAATATATAGATATATATACATAAAATATACATATATGTCTATAATGTGTATCTGGATATGTATACAGTAAAATTTTGGATATATCTATAGTGCATATCCAGATATGTTTATCGTGTGTATCCAGATACGTCTACAATGCATATTTAGATATGTGTGCAATACCTATCCTAATATGTTCATGATAGATATCCAAATATTTCCCTGCAGATTACCAATTTGATTCAATTCTGATTCATGTGACTTTGTATCAGTTGTTATTATATTTAAGACTTGTTAGAGTTATAAAACTCACATATAGTTGATATATAATAGGTGCTCGTGCATAAATGATGATGGAAAAGTGTTAATGAAATAATTGTTCTATATCTAAAGGAATAAAGATATGTGTGGGTGTATTGATGTTCCATGTGTTTAGTGTAACACCCTTTATGCATCCGGTTATGTTATCATTTATTATTATATTAAGCGCAGTTATAATTACAACAGTTCATTTAAAAATACGAGAAATTTTTTTCCTTTTATTACATTTACAAAACTTTGCATTTATAAAAACATTCGTATTAAACAAATTGCAAATTGTGATCGTAACTCAGATCTAATGCGAAAATATAAATATTACTACTTAACTATCATACATTACCTATCTAAGGTTGCTAAGTGGTTCCCATAAACCAACGAAGCAAAAGTACTCAATTTCACACTTTGCCAAAATAGAGTATGTCTCGATTTTGTCAAATTGGGCATAATCTACTCATCAATAAATTCTCATCTTTTACTATGTTAAACTAGACTCTATGAGATTTCCAACGAAGTATCACACCCCTCAAACAGAGTTTTATAACTCCAGATACGCTCTCCATAAATTAATTCTTTAAATTTGTCAACACCGTTCTACATGCCACTTAACATACCTCACAATTTTAGTGATTTCAGATGATCCACAAATTCAATTGTTCTCAAATTTTTATACAACATAGTAGACAACTAGACCTTAAATTTGCTATATCATAAGCCTAATTTGGTCAAGAAATAAGGAAGATATAATTTTTTCAATATGCAACCCGAATGCAAGTCCAAAAGCTAGTTTTGGACAGTCTCCACTCATTTTGACACACAGAGCTCTACACAACTCGAAATGACACCCAATATTAGGAAAATATAGTTGACATCTTAGGCTTTAAAATAAGGTATAACATGCCTCAATTAGATGTCTATGGAGGAATATATGATCTCCCAAAATTGGATAAAAATATGACCAAATCTTAGAAATTTCAACGGCACCTCTTTTATTTTATTAACTAATCTCACTTATGAAAGTGTGTTCCATTTTCTTAAAAATGTCCCTAATATACCAAAGGGTGGCACACAAGGCTCAACAAATCTTGGTGCTCTTACAATCCATAGTATATCACAATTAACATCATAGCTTATTCTCTAAGGTATTATCCATAATTACTTATATTACATGCTACTATCTATTTCAATCACATTATTCCATTTTCATGCGTTTATCATAGTCATAATCACATCATTATCTAGAATAGCATTATTGCCCTTTCATCACATACATCAATATTGATTACACAAGGTCCTCAATGTTATAATAGGATTTACAACAACTAATCAATATAACTATTACACTTCTTGCAACTTTCAACATAATACAATACATACCAAAATGAAAACCACATGACTTAGTACAAAAGCATGAACAACCAAGCATGACAATATCCCACATGCAAGACATATGTTCATACAATAAGTCAAGAATATACATATGCAAGAACTAGGCTACTCCAAAAATCCACAAGATGAGTGTAATTCCAAATCCATCAATGTAGTCCTAGGTGGGCCTCTTGCCCAAAGCCTCTCTCGCTGCACTAGTGGTACCTAAAATGTAAGCCCTATAATGCGGGGTGAGATTTGACAATCTCAGTAAACCAATGGTCCTGGAGGGTCACTTCACCCAGTGGCTCACTTAAATGCAAAACAGTAATAATATACATATAAACAGGCATACATCAATCAATCAACAAACTAGGCCTAAATCCAAGAACATATCCCCAGGATATAGTTCAAGGTACCCGTCATATAACTCCCAAGACATTCCTAGTATCACTCCCACAACAAAGACAACACTATGGCATCAGACCAACGGAAACTCCCTATGGTGGCCTATCCAGTGGAAGTCCCCACAAATCTATCTGCTGGCCAAAGAGATAGGTATATCAAAACATATACCAAACAATCATGTCAAAATGCATGAGCATGTTATATTACATATTATTACATTCCAACATCTATCCCAACGGGTGTGGTGGAGCACATACAGAGATTAAACCCAGGACATAGACTTTACCTATTAGATGCTCCTAAGCTAGGTAGCTTCAACCACAAGTTACTTCCCACTTTCGACTTAACACAGAAATGCCAACAACAAGTGGTCATTTCAATAATTACAAAGTGTCATTTGATAACTCAAGTAGCTATCCAATTAATCACGCAATAAAGTAAGTCATTATTTACTTCAATCTTTGTGGTCCAAAGGCAATCCAAAAAGAGCTTCAAGAGTAAATCCTCTACGATCGGGTCCGAGGGAGACAACCTACAATGATCTCACACACATGATCATCAATTAACTTGTCCAACAAGTCATAAACAAATAACATAATGTAATTCCCCATCACACTATAGGTTCGGCCATATGGTCCTCAAGGATAATTTTGTGTGTTCAATTCTTTTCAACTACGTTCCTCACTTCATTAGCATCTCATAATAACACGACATGTCACCATTCACTCACCACAACACAAAACCACAAATCCACCCACATTTAGCATACAAGGCCATGGGGGTACCCTAAAGGGTCTCAATAGATTTTTTAACTTTTCAATGATCCAAGACACTTGTTTAGGTCATCAACCAAGTCACTACCTCATCACAATCTATGATTACATGCGCTAAGTAAATTTCAACACAATTTTTCCCTAAGTGAGCCTAATGGCCGAAACATACATTGCCAAGGACCAAGGAAGTTTTCACCCAATTCCAAAGCATTAGACAATCATTCAACCTTATTATTATTGATTCAAGTCACCACCACTCATTTACACAATTTCTTAATAACTTGCTTTGCAAGAAATCATAGTTCATTCATCAAAATATTTCTAAGTTACCAAACTTTTGCACAATAATTTTTATGGGTTAAATCATCATTGTGAGCATTAAATTCTGAAGGAACACTACCATTAAAGGCCCCCAACTACCTCAATAACCAACACATACTCTTAAGTAATCCATTTTATGATTTCATAAATAACTCAAAGGAATTGGAAATACATACCATAAATCAATGCTTAAGCCTCTAAAGAATGTTCTCTAAGCAAGCACTCAAGCAACAACCACCAATGGTTCCGCTTCCATCAAATTTTTGCAATCTTAAAGGAGAGATATCTCAAAATGTAGAGATTTTCAAGAAGAATAGAGGTGTGGGTTGAGTTCAATAGGTGATTTACTTAAACTTTCACGTAAAATGCTAAGTGTTTTAGTGGAGGAAATGGAAGGGAAAATCTTGCCCTACCACTTATGAAGGCCGTAGGTTTTGGAGAGCAAGGAGGGGGAGAAAGTTGGTGAATAGTGCCAAGCACATAAGTTTTAGATGGTTTAAGTGGGGTGGGTCCCACATGCCACCCCACTTACTTAAAATTATTCACTTAATACTCTAATCTCCAATTAATTCATGAATCATCCATTAAATCAAAAACTTAATATTTGCCAAAGTCCTTTAATTACCCTTCAATAGATGAATCCATAGTTTTCTGATAATTTGGTGAAATTATTGTTTTACCCATAGTAGTGCTCCGTTGGCACGTCTCTAAAAAAATCCTGAAATTCATCAAATATTTTCAATAATCATTTTTCTTAACTCTATGTACCTCTTTCAACATATATTCAAATCCTAGATCAATAATCTCGTTTCTGGTTTACCCGTTGGAATTGACACCACAATATTTTATCCGTTAAAAATCATTATTCATCAATTTTCCATAAACTTGCTTAACCACTCAATTTTTTGTTCTAAATCAATTTCTAGTATTATTTTCATTAAATAAGGTCTACTTTTATCATTTTGCAAATCATGGTTACGTATCTATTAATTTATCATTTTACCCTTCATGTGTATTTTGACCTAAAAATCAAGGTTTCCACTAAAAATACCCTCTAACCCACAATTTAATTATAAATGTCCATTTCAAATATGTGAGGTGTTACATTTAGCAAAAGCATTACATCGAAACTATGATTGTGATATAGAATTGATATTGATGAACATGTATGTTTGTATGGATTTGATTATATTATTCCACTTGTGCTTTACCCAAAATAGTAAAATACAGTAGTTGATATTGTAAGGGACGTCTTGTCGTGATTGAACTCAATTCACACATTG